CCTCGGAAGTATAGGCCATTAACTTGAAGAGGTAGACAGTTTCGACCAACTCCGGCTGGGGCTGTTGCCTACTGGACAGGGTAAGGACGACCTCGTCTCTGAAAACGATGCTGCCCTCGGGTTTTTTTCCGTAGTTGGAACTGCCTATAGGCCTGACAAGATAACTCTTTCGCCACAAAGCACCGCATGCGCCGGGCATCTCTCCGGTCTGTCCTCCTACATGGTTCCAAACGCTGGGCCGCATGCACGGAAGACACAAAAGCCGACGGTGTTTGACCAATGGTGCCTACCTGTGGGACATTAACTTGATCTCCAGCAAGACCTTCCATACTCGCTGCAGCATCATCGCGAGGGTATCTCAGCCCATCGATAAAAAAATGCCCGAGGTGGATTGGCGCCGTTCTTCGTCGTTTGTACCATGACCTTAATGGTGCCGCCCTCGTTCTGACGCTATTTCTCACCTAGCGGAGTCGAAGAGGTCGGTTCAAAACCGGATCTGGCACAGTTAACCAAAACGGAAATGGTTCTTGGGCCTTTGGTGTTCGGTACTCGTCGCTGGAGGGGACAGTGAGTCGGGCTATCTAGGCCCCATGTCACAGACCGTCATGCTTCATTAGATCAGGCATGGTCGTAGCAGCATTAGAAAATACGTGTACATTGTAGCGTATCCTGCTATGTGGCACTAAAACGCCCTTGTCAGCTTTATTCCTAGATTAATTTGACCGCTGTTTTAGTTACCAGAAAAGGACTGCATATGGAATTAGCTTCGTGACTTTATAGTTCACTCACGACTTACATAGTTTTTTTTATCCAAGGCGTCTTTATAGTCTTTCTGTTCGCCCTACTAACTATCCGCTCCAATAAAACGCCTTGTGCCAAATCCCCCCAAGGTGTCTATTACCCAGTCTTAATCCCTACCATCCTACGATTTGGCGCAAGGAAACCTGTAGTACCAAGTAGGAGGGTTGGCAGGGGAAGGTACCGATTCTCGCGTCCTGCCGACGCATTTCTCTCTCTCTCTCTTGTGCTAAGCAGTTTTTGGTCTCTTAATTTGCACTTTTTATAACACAGCGCTTTTCCTTACAGCCTATTTTCGATCAACTATCAGATGCACACAAGGCTCTTCAAACAGCCGAGCGAAGAGAAAAAATTAAGGAGA